GCCGCACTTAGGGATTATAACCCTCACTACGTAGAATTCTCCTTTCTGTGCTGCCGGAAGAGGCGAATGTGACCCCAAGCCCCCTACTATTTATTTTTATCTGAACAAAAGGACCTTATCGTATTTTCCTTTTAATCGCATTTTCTTTGGTCTTGCTTTCCACTCTTGGTTTTTTTAGATATGGCAACACAATCCTGCTGCCATTTGTACATATTCTGCATGTACTCTCATAAAATTAAACAACAATAAATTTTTGATAAAAAAGCAGTAATATACTAAAAGTATTTATCTGTTTGAACGTGCACACTCTAACTGCGCATATATTGAATGTAAATAATCTGTAAATTTAGTGGAAAGTGCATTACATATTGTAAAATAGTGCCATACAAGTTAGTTAAAATTACAAACTTTAATAACAAATTCCTTAAAAAGTATAAGGTTGCGCGCTTTGAAACTTCTTACAGGGAACTATTAGACCCCCCTCTACCTCCCATATTTTTCTTAATGCTGTACTCCGGGGTTACCAAACTAAAGCCCACCCAATTTTTTTTTTCAATTTGACTTTATAGGATGGTTCTTTTGAAAGCAATGTCAAATCCAATCACACTTTGTTAAATACATTTTGATCTCTACCAAATAATATTCTACCTCTGTAAATATTTTATGAAGTGTTCCAAAATTCGCTCCGAGCGCTTTCATGTTGATCATTTTGTTTTAAATAGTTTGTCAAACAATTAATACTATAGTTTGATCGGAGTTAATATTATCTTCAGTAATTAATCACATTATTTTAAAACATAAGCTTATAATAGGTGAGAAATTATTTAGACTTAATATGCATATTTTATATCGTGTTCCAAAATTCGCTCGCTTCACTATTGATGTTTTGATTCAAATATTGTTTGTGAAGCATTCAGTAGTGAAGTTTGTTCGGAGTTTATATATTCTTCAGTAATTAATCATATTACAATAAAATATAAACGTATAATATGGTAGAAAGATAGAAATTAGTTAGTCTTAATATCCATAATTCGATCCGTGTTTCAAAATTCACTCCGAGTGCGTTCACTATTGATCATTTTATTTAAATAATTGTTTCTCAAGCATTCAGTACTATAGTTTGATCGGAGTTTATATATTCTTACGTAATTAATCACATTTTATTAAAATATATACCTATAATAGGGTAGAAGTTGTGAAATTATTTAGCTTCAACGTGTATAGTCGGCCAGAGACAATTGCACAATACTGCAACTACTCGTGATAGCATACAATAAAAGCAATGTAGATGAAAGTAATAAATATTATTATTAAAATAAGATCCATATATAAAACGTTTTACACCATTTATTTGAAGTGAATCGAAATATATTTTTACATATAACATAGTTTCCATTTAACTCATTGTTCAAACATCTTTGAACATATATGCATACATACATACATCTACCAGAGTAATAAAACTGAACATAAAAAAATATACGTACAATAATACTTTTTGACACAGAAAATACAGTCCACTTTAGAATAGAAGATAAGTAAAATACATAAACATGAGAAATGAATAAAAACCCATAAATTGTAACACATTTAACTGTCAATATTTTGTACACAACCGAAATAAGATACAAATGCATACACCCATACATGCATTAGAAAATGCATTGATATTATTTGCATGTATACATATAGCCGACGCAAATGCAAGCATTAAAATTAAAATTATGATAAGACCAAAGCGGTTGTTTGTAAATACCAATACCAAAACAACATGTACATACACACACACACATATGTACATATACAATTAGTTAGGAAACATAAAGTAAGAAAATTGTATATAAAGAAGAAATATTTAATAAATATTCAGAATCGTAAAGACTCTCAATAACACTCTTCTTCTTCTTCTAAAATTTATTTTGTATGCTTTACTTCCCCC